TGGGGATAGGGCAATAAGAGAAAAAATGTAGAGTAGAAGAATAATAAAGAAAAAGATGGGAAAAATGCAAAAAGAGAAATAAGGAATGGGGTTAACCAAGAGAAAGAAAAAAAAAAAATTGGAACCAAGAACAGGGAAGAGAGAAAAAGCTGAAAACTAAAACGTGGGAAGGGAAAAAAAAAGAGTAATAATAAAAATGGCAATAATGATAATAATAGTTTTTAAATAAACAAAAGAAACAAACTAAAAATAAAAAGGAAAAATTAAAAATCTGGGCAGGGGCAGGTACCCAGGCTCTGTTGGAGCACATAGACTGTGATATAATTCCTGCTGGCCCAGAAGGTGGTTGGGAGTGAGGGCTGACTGCACCTCTGTTTAGCAGGAAGGTGTGGCATAGAAGAGTAACCAGGGGAGTATTGCACCTTTCCAGTTGTTGGTGTCTGGAATGTCCTTGTGGTTCCGGGGAAGTGGAGCCTATTCTTAAGTCCCTGGAATCTGGGGATTGTTGTCACTTTTAATATCCAAAGTGGTCAAACAACTTGTAAACATTCAAAATAGCTGCATCCTCCAGGCAGGCAAAAGTCCATAGTTCAGCCCACTTTCCTCTTTGCTGCTTCCCCTTTTATTCACCAGCCACCAGTGCAGTCCACCGTGTAGTCCCTGGCAACCAGGACCAACTTTTAGGTTAATTATTTGGTCCTAATATCACTCAACGATATCCAAGCTGTCTGTGCAGTCAGAATTGCTGCAAGTCCACAGCTCTGTATGTCTGCTTTTTCAGTGTTTTCATGCAAATTCTTCTTAGTTGGAGTTTAGTTCACCTTCATATTCTTCCCTTCAGAGCTCAGGCATCCAGGATTATCTTCTGTATCTGTGTTAATTGGTTCCCCTTTTTCTTTGTTGAAGATGATCTGTGCAGTATTTCTGCCAATTCTGCCATCTTAGCATTATTATTGTCTATCTTGCTATTGTTATTGTTACTGTTTCTTGTTGCTATAAAATGGACTGCAACTCAGAGCTACCTTATGTACAACAGAACACAGCTTTCCCAGTCCTGCATCATCCCCAAAATTATTGGCAAGCTTGAGTCATTCCTTGCTGCTCTTGTACCCATTGACCTACCATACCCTAGTTTTCCCTCTACTTGACAGTATGGGCATTTCTACTCTGTCTTAAAGGGTTGCTTCATGAGTTGGAATCCACTGAGATTTGCCTCATGAGTTGGAATCCACTGAATGGTAACAGTTTTTTTTTTTTTTTAAGTTTCTTGGGGGAGTCTCCAGGTGGCCTAAATGGTTAAGTGATGGATGAATAGCTAAAAGTTTGGCAGTGTGAACTTACCCAGAGGTGTCTTGGAAAACAAGCCTGGTAACATACTCTGAAAAGTTGCAGTTTTGAAAAACATATGAAACAATTCTCCTCTGCACACAAGGGATCTCCATGAATTGGTATTGACTTGATGACAACTAAAAATAACAACAATAGATTTCATATAGAGCAGTAAATGAAGAAGAGCTGTTTCCACAGTGTGTTCTTAAATAATCCTGAAGCACAAACTACAAGCTAAATTCAAACAAAATATAATAAATATACAATCTGAATCTCAATGTAATCCAGAAAAGAATTGAGAGCAAATGGCTTCATCATTTTCCTAGGATAAAGGAAAACAAATAAATTAAATTTTCTGTCAAAAACACTACCTTAGGAGAAAAATTTTATAGCTTTCATCTAAGTTTATTACATGTCTTACTTGTTTTTCTATGGATACCACCTGAAACTTCTGTGCATATTCTCTTTGACTGCTGATTGTTCTAGATAAATGTTGCCATAGAAGATACACAGAGAACAGAAGAAGGACACCCTGACCCACTGTGTCCTGTTTGTTAAATTCTCCCTGATTAGAAAGGCTGTGTAATATCTGTGTGTCTGTATACATAAATCAGACTAAACTCACTGCCATCAGCTCAAGTCCAGCTCATAGTGACACCCAGGCAATTTCTGAAGCAGTAAATCTTTACAGAAGTAGATTGTGCCATCTTCCTTCCACTGAGCTCTGGTGAATTTGAACTTCAAACTTCTGGTTAGCCTTAGGCACTGTGCCACTGGAACGCCTTGTCTGTATACATACTCACTTTTATTTAATGAATTATATATATATATATATATATATAGAGAGAGAGAGAGAGAGAGAGAGAGAGAGAGAGAGAAAATGAGTGAGTTATTTTCACTGTGTGTGTTTAAGTAAATAAAAAATACCAAATCTTTATAAGCTTAAAGATGGAGAAAATACTTTGTCATATTCATAATTAGCAATAAGAGGAGATAGGTTTCAGTTGTAAGCATTTAGTTTCTGTGCAACAATGAAGACCCACTGCAGCAGCAGAGGTACTAAATATTAGGAAGACTAAGTAAAAGATGGGGTAGAGGTCCTGCTAGGTTAGGTGCTAGAAGAGAGTAAGATGCTTTTCTAAAATAATGTCTCCCAAATGCATGCATTGGCCTCCCAGTCCTGAATACACTGTACATGTGAATGAATGGGCAATCAAATATATGAAAGCTCTTGATATACAAAAGAATGCAACCAATTTAAAATAAGGGTTCAACTCTAAAGTTAAAGAAGTCATGTCCTTACTTCCTGGAATGTTATTTGGATAAGTTGTTCCTGACCCTGGTGATATTTTAGTACCAGATGTGCCCAGCCTGGGCTTGAATTCAGCATTGCTATCTCTGTACCCTTGGGCAAGTAGATGGACTTCTTTGGATCCCAGGATCCTCATTAATCTTTAGGGCAAAAAACTGGCACTCGTAGAGTTGTTGTGAGAATTAAAATGGGATAATATATGTGAAGAGCTTAGTAAGTATTTGGCACAGTGCCTGGCACATGCTGAGGGCTCAATAATGCTAGCTGCTGCTGTCAAGTGAGCCCAGAGGTATTCTAGGAATAAAACTTTCTAAAAAGGAACTGTACTATTTCCTTGCCCTAAGTCTATGAAATTAACACAAAGTGGATATTGTCACTTTGATGTTTTTATATTCACACAAATTTTTTTAAACACTGTGGTAGACAGCTGGGGATCAAATAAAGCTATTATTAGAGTACTGAGTGTGGGGTTTAAAATTAAGTTTTCTTAAAAAATTTGGTCTTTGTCCTTGGTTTCTAAGAAATAACCTCTGTTGTTGTTTTGCCGTCAAGTCGGCCCCGACTCATAGCGACCCCTCCTTGGGTTTCCGAGGCAGTATCACTACAGAAGTAGGATTGCCCAACCTTCCTTCCGAAGAGTGGCTGGTGGGT